TCTTTCATTTTGGGATCTGGGATTATATAAAGGTATATTGTTATTAAACAGACAATCAAGAATGTAAGGGAATTAGGTTTATTGAAAAAAAAATAATATTAATTGTAATTGAATATACATTGTACAATGAAAGTGAGGTATTTAGTTATATTAGATGAAAAATCTGTGACCGTAAATGTAATTGAGAATATGGATGCAAAAACACTGGTAACCAAACGACATGCTGTATGTAATGGATGAGATCATTTTTTAATATATATTTTTTTATGTTTAAAAATGGAAAAAAAACAGCTATGAAAAAAAGACTGCTTATAGTCTGTTCTGGAGACTATTCTATTTTTGTTATGCAAGTAAAGCTATTATTTGTTTTACCTTCAGTGGCTGTGAGTGGCATCTTATTTGTTACTACCTTCTGCTGCAGAACTCTAGTCTCCTAACGGGGATAGACTTAACAACGGTGTTGGAAAAAGTGTCCCATGACTGGTCCTCGTGCTTATGACCATCACGGCCTCCTGTTGTCACAGAGTCGTCAACCAGCAAGGACATGGGCTGACCAGGCTGACGATGAATTTGGTACAGTTTTTACCTGTATCAAAGGTGCTCTTTCTTTTTTCCAAAAGATAACTTGGACTTTGTTTCTTTTTGAAGAGGTTTCACTTCTCCTCCGAGAAGCTTCTTCAGTTCTGATGGAATGGCTTGATATTCAATCAGAACGGAAGAAGTTTCTCGGGGGAGAAGTGAAACCCCTTCAAGCTAAAACAAGAGTCCAGCTGCCTTTTGAAGAAAAACCGAAACACCTTTAGAACAACCGTGACCTGGACGAGTTAAGAATCTCCTTAGAGGTGGAGTCTTACCTGCACTTTTTTTAACGCCACCGGTTTCCTGTCCAGGAGGCAAGTCGCTCTGTAGACCTCGCTGAATTGTCCTCGCCCAATTTTCTTCTCAATCTGAAAATCTGCTAAAGTGCAGCGATAGAAGTGTCTCTGCTTGAGAGAGGGGGAAAACAGCAATTAAATCCCTGCATATTTTACGTGGGACACGACAAGGACAAGGCATTTGCGCGAGGCCCATTTGGCGCTGCCTTATTCTCCGTTCAGGTTTCCTTTTTTTCCTAACACCCCCTGAAAAATATTATATCTCGCTCTGCCGAGATACCAAAGGCTTCCCTGCTCCAAAGTTCAAACGAATTCAGGATGAAGCCTTAAATAACTACAAAGGTTATGGCGGGGGTCAGCAACCTTGAGCCCCAAAGGTCCTAACCGGAAGTCCCCCGTTCAATTCTGAAGCCGTCTGGAAGTCCAGTTCCCCCCACCATAGAGTCTCCTCCTAGCACGGCGTCCTTTTTCCTCTACCTGTCCTAACCGAAAGCCCTATCAATTGTGGCACTGACCAGCAACAGGGAGCCACAGCAGAGAAATGAAAGAGCCACATGCAGCTCCAGAGCCTTGGGTTATGGGTTCATTTTATTGTGACCTTTGTTAATGTTTCTTTCCTAGGACAGAAGAAGGAAAAGAACATTTCTTTCTGACACAAGGTATGATGTTTGTAATGCAGAAGGAAATATTCTGGGCTGTGGCCTTTTCTATTGTTCTGACCTAGGCTTACCAGAATCACAAAACAAACTCCTTGTCCTGCAAAAAAAAACCCAACACTTTTTATTTGGTTTATGTGAGTGCCTGGCATTCACATCCAGAAAAAGTCCCGGCAATAAGCCTTTCAAGGTATAATTGCAACAACAGACCTTATCAGTCCTTGGATAGTTGCCAGGCCGAGAACTTCCAGTTGCAACGCTGCACAATGAAAAATATCTGGCAAAGAGTCGTTGTGAGGCACAAACTGAGATATGCAAATCTTCTTAATAATAAGTGAACTAATTGTCTCCTGCAAACTGTTTGCTCCCATATGGAAGGGGCCATTCAACATCCACCTGTGCCTTTACTCCAAAGTCAGCCCTTGTTCCTTAACTGTTCCCTTCTTCTGGCAGCTCTGCGCATGCGCACACTGGGAACAGGCTCCAGCTGTTCTTCTGCCCCACTGATGTCTGACTTCGAAGGCAGCTGATAACTGTCGGACGCCCCTAGGCCCCCTCTCTGTCTCTGACACAGAGCCCTCATCAGAGCCTTCCCCAGACTCTAGGACTGGCCCAGGTTCCTCCCCAACTTCCTCATTGTCTGAGTCTGCCGCCAGCCCCGCTGGCCACTCGTGGGCCACAACTTCTATCTCCAATTGTGTTGTTTTGGAATTTATGGAAGTAGTCTTCTGCAGAAAGCCCTGTTCTCAGCGGATTTATAGGGAATTGAGAAGGACATTTGACGTTCCACCACCAGGATGGCATTAAAGCTAATATGGAAAAGCCCTGAGCAGTATTTTTCAACAGGGAAAGATGCAGAACACTCTTTCTCAACCTCAACAACTGGAAGATGTTGGCCTTCAACATCTAGAGTGGGTTGGTTGTTTGGAGAAATTCTGAAAGTTGAAGTCCACATATCTTCAAGTTAATGAGCTTCAGCATATAGCATTGAAAAGAGTTAAGGGAAATCGGTGATCCTACAGAAATCTATCGGTTTAAAAGGGGTATTAAAAAAATTGCTAGGAGGATTCAAAATCCCTTTTTAAAAAAATTGATAGGAATTATGGAATAATTGGAAATTCCGGCTAATGCCAGGAATTTCTCCTTTGACACCGGTGGTGGAAATGGAGAAATTTCCTAAGATTGGAATGAAAGAATGGATTAGTAAACTAAAAGAAAGGGAATAAACCTACTCAAGAATATATGTTGTTTTGGAGGGGATAAGGGTACAATTGGAATATATTGTATATTTTTGTTATAGACGAAGAAATATAAGGGGGGGGAACAAGGTCTCTGGGGGTGGAAGTGAACTATAATATTAGTTTTTTTCCCTTTTCCTTTTTCTCTTTCTATTTTTTTGTATTTAGATGAATATGTCTATGTTTGTATTATTTGCATTTTTTTAAAAAAAAATCACAGGAAGGTTTCAAAATAATAATAATAATTTAAAAAACCCATCAATATTCCGATACAAGTCAAACTTTGACCAGATCAACATGTTATCCAAAGAACTTCTCCATCCGAAAAAAAAAACTATGGTGGCGGAAGCGTGTTATTTCCTGCACGGTGTTTCTAAAATATGCCTTGAAATACAGCTTAAGGAAAAAGTTGGCTTGTTGAGCCCCGTTAAGATGGCTTGTTGAGCCCCGTTAAGATTGGGTGATGATTGAGAGCTTCGGAGGACAAATATCCCTAATTAAACCCAGGCAGCCACAGAAAGGAACTTCCGTTGCGGCCCGAAACAAAGGGAACAAATCAGGTCAAAACATGCACAAAACGCCCCCGAGCGATTAGGATAATCCATGTTCTGGCTGCTTTCGAATACGTATGGCTAACATGGGTTTATATAGTGAATTTCTTAAGAGGGAGAACATTAAAACATAGTAGGCAATCAAGGTACGTTTGACAAGCTTAAACTACCTCTCCACGCCCTTCTATTGTTATAGAAAACACTAGTGGGTGGTGAGGAAAAGGGGTGTATGTCCCCTTGGCAACTTTACAACTTGTGGACTTTGACTCCCAGAATCCCCCAGGCATCATGAAGATTTCTGAAGGCACCAAAACAGATGGGGACGAATCTTTTTTTTAAAAAAAAAATAGAAACAGAAGGATTTACTGCCGTAAATGACCACATTCCGTCATCTCACTTGAAATTACAGCATTTTCCGGGGTGAAATATACTGAAGTGTAAATTTAAATGTTTTTGTTTTTTAAACTTAAGATGTTTACATTGGAAAGTTTATCTGGGAGACAAGGAATTCTTCAGAAGTCAGTTTTTATTGCCTCGCTGGTATAAATCTAACACAAGCCAACGTTTGACCAAAATCAATTGGGTAGATTAATTGCAAGCCCTAAAAAAAACCTAAATCTCTCTCTCCCCCCCCACGATTAGACAAGTCTTCTTAAAAGAGG